TCTAACAATGGAGAAGAATCCAAGAGGGTTATCGATCTAAAGACCTTTTCGGAAAACTTTCGATTATATTTTTCACAGTTTTCGCGATTTAAATTTTTTGTATTTCTTCGCAATATTGAAATTTCCTCCTCATATAAAGTTTGAAATTTTCGATCTTCTTCATAAAGTAATATGAAAATGGAAATTGTAAATCACACACACTATCAGGTATTGAATATCCATCTGGAATTGGTTCTGGCAAAAAGTCGAAATTGATAACACTATTATCCATAAACATCTCTTTCCAAAATTTAAGAAGTAGTTCTCTTTGTGGTGACATTTGAGACTTGGGCAAGTCATGAATAAGGAATGATTTTGTAGCTCCTAAGCGTTCCAGGGAATATAACATTTTAGCAACAAGCTTACGAACTATTTAACGAATATATGCTTATAATGCCACAGCAAAGGACGAAAATGGATAGAATAAATTTTTGTTAGACGCGAAATGGTATTTCTATCCAGGTTCGATATTCTCAAGTGTTCTTATTTTTAAACAATTTATGAAATTTGGATGTTTTGCTTAAATACCTAGTAGAATAAGAAAACTTAGAGATAGGATGTACTTTAGTAATCAAAAGTTTTAGAAGAAATACTAGTCACGTGAAATCATTGATAGTGTCTTATATTTCACACATGTTAATCACCATAATAATTCTTGCTTTAATATGTCTTCAAACGGATAAATTGTCTCAATTATATCAATCAAATCGTACATCAGTAAATCAGATAATGGCCTTTGCGGTTTAGTCAATGATTCGATAGTAATTTGATTCCATCCACTAATAAAGTTGAAAGAAGTAATGTTCGCATTTTCTTCATTTTCCAGCTGTCGTTCTTCTCGATGTGTATGAAGAATTATACATGCATGTTCAATTTTCCAAGTATTATTCTCTCTCTGTTTTTGCGAATACTTACTCCGGCATTGTTCAATAATAAATTTGGCTAATTTAATACAATTCGCATTTATAATTGAGATATCACATTGCAATACCAATAATTCATGATCTGACTCGAACAAAAATCTGCTCACTTGCTTTTGCAATTGAGATTCTGTTTTGAATGTGTAGAGAATGTCAAAAGAAATATGGTGATATTTGGGAATTTTATGTAGGACATCATGTGATAAGACGAGAGAAGTTTGAATAGGTAGAATAGATATTTTGAAAAGATTTATTCAAAAAATGAGAAAGCGAGTAATTTTATTAACCGTGTGCCCATGAATGATAGATCAGATGAATATGGTTGGAATAACATTTAATAGAAATTTTTATACGTATATTTATGACTCCGTCATTTGTTAAACAAATTTTGATATGATTTAATGATATTGAGAGAATTCGAATAATTCATTCAAAGAGTTGAAAATTTTGTGTTATTTATGGTAACACCAAAATCGATTCTTCAACTTCCTATTGGTGGATTCCGTCAAAAAATTTGATGAACTACAAAGAGAAGAAATCGCTAAAGCTCCGTTAACACCGATAGACATATTATGGAAGACATTGCTAATTAAATCCAATTCGTAAAAACAAAATAAAATTTTTATATCGATGGTTTTTGCCATCGTCGAAACTTTTGCCACAAGTCGAAACTTTCGCAATTTTGCCTTTAATAAAAAAATTTGGCAAAACGTTCGATAGGTTTGATTTCGATGCCCGTCGAAACCTCGCATCTTTTTGTGCGTCTAAACGTGTTGGTGTATAGTCACCATTCCGAATTATCCAAACTACCAAAAAAAAAAAAAAAAAAAAAAAAAAAAAAAACCTCATTAAAAAAAAAAAAACAAACAAAAAATTCTATTGATAATATTGAATCAACCTTACCTTGCACACGGGATCCATTCTCAATTTGGCTTAAAGCGTGTTCGAGTGCTATAAAAGATATACTTAAAATAAAATAAAAAACAATGATTTTTTTAATAATATGAAATCATGAATCATTGCACAGGCATTAATGGATTGTGAAACAAAAAATGCATATGCATGAGTTCTGAAATGTATAATAGATGCAACAGGGATTACTCCGGATTTTGCCCGGCAACCTTATATGGCTTCAATTAATAAAATCAATAATTCCGAAATAGTTACCAGTAAGTTTAAGAAATATTCTGGATAACACATTTTAATATGTTTTTATTTTGTTATATCACAAAGAAAGGGCTTTTTGACCATTCTTGATCCTCTTACTTTTGCTTTCTTTGCATTCTCATGTACGAATTTAGCGATTACAAATAACGTGACTTAATTAAATAATTGCGGTGCACAAATCCTAATTTAAATTAGGGTAATGTCTCTTGTGTATTATATTTCCAAATTGCCCGAATTTTAAATTAGAACAATGAATAACTTGAAGTACCGCATGTTTAAATCCCAATTTTAAATTTGGAATTAAAAAGTTTGGAAATCGAAATTTAAATTTGCCCTTAAGGCGAGCCGCAGAAATTATTGCGCCTCAGCATTGTGCCAAATGAGAAGGCTTTGAATTCTACAGGCCGCTATAAAAAGACAAGAAATTGAATGAAGGCTTATAACTGCTAAGGGCCGCATAAAAAAAAAATGTAAATCAACAAGCTAAATGAAAGGCTTTTGACTTTTTACGGGCCGCCATCAATTTGAAGTTTATTATAAATATCACAAATATTTTTTTTTGTTTTTTAGAAAGGCTACATTATTTTCTAACAATATTACAATAATGTCCGGTAATTAAATCAATTTCAATTTTATTTTATACCAGCAAATATTAATCTATTAAATATTTGTGAGGAAAGGTATTTTATTTAATTTGGACGTGCTAGCTACTAATAAAATAATTCGTAATATTAGAATCACTTTGGAGCCTTGACGAATCTTCAGGTAAATATGGTTTTCTCTATACATACAACACTAAAATTTTTATAATAATAATTTGTGGATGCCCATATACTGTTACTGTATGCAAGGTAATATCATGTTTAAGTATGCGTGAAATTTAGATACTTGGACATACCTCAAGTTTAGAACTAAGTTTTTTATAATAAAACAAATATATATTTAACATTATTAGTAAATTCTGTAACTTCCGCATTTGCAGGTAAGACAATATTTTTTTATGCGTAAAATTTGTGAATATTCGCAATCAACAAGATCCGTAATCAAGCTGTAATTTTACGTTTTTTATTTTATCGATAATGTATAACTCAACTAAAATATTCATTATTCAACTAGAAAGTAAGCTTTACGTTTCTATTGTATCATTAATTTATACAAATAAAATTAAAATAAATTTAATTTAAAATATTAATTAATAATATACTGTATGTAGTTAGTAAGTTCTTTTTATCGTAACATTTGATTAAATTTAAAATTATTATTTAATTATTAATATATAATTTATAAACTCACTCGACTATACTAGTTCATTTAATTAAACTTGTCTAAATTTTAATTTAAAATGATTTAATTTTTGAAGATACAGATGGTAAGTTATTTGATTTTTAATTATATAATATATTATGTATAAACTAAACAAAGATAATTTATAATGAAAATTACTCAATATCAATAATAATATAATGTAAGTTATTCGATGACTTATAGTATCATTCATTTATTAAATTTAAATTTAACATTTAATTTAATTTTAATTGATGATAAAATAGTACGTAAGTTGTATATTGCTTCATTTTTTATAATTTATAAACTCTACTAAATTTATGAAATTCGATAACGACAATTGACGATTTAGAAAGTAAGATAATTGATTTCTTATTCCATCATTATTCATTTATACTTTTTAAATTTTCTAAGTTTAGTATTTAACTCTATACATTATTACAATAGTTAGTAAGTTATTTCTATCATATTTATGTGTAATTTATAATTTTGCGAAATTATTATATTAAGATTATTCAATGTTTGATGGTATAGCGAGTAAGTTATATAATTTTATTGTACGTAAGTTATTTTATTTATATACCGTAACATTAATTATTTATAAACTCTACTAAATTTATTATGAATTAATTATTTATATATTGGATGATATAGAAAGTAATTATTCAATTATAATTGTATTATTCAAGTTAAACTTATAAAAATTTAGTATTTAAAATTTATTCAATAATAAAATAGTTGGTCAGTTATTTCTATTCTATTTCAACATTATTTATGCATATTAAAACTCTACGAAATTGTTATTATTTACATAATTTTGTGTTTGATGATGTAGAAAGTAAGTAATAAGTTATTTTCCTTCTATTGTATTATTATGAATTTGTATAATTATAAATATGTCTAATTTAAAATTATTCAATAATAATAATAATTAATGATATAGAAAGTAGGTTATTTTATCGTTTATTTATGCATAATTTATATACTCTTCGATATTTAAATTATTCAATAACGATAATGATGATATAGCACGTAAGATATTCGAATTCTAATTTATCATTTAATTATATAATTTCAATTCACTAAATTTACATTAAATTTTTAAATTATAAAATAGTTCGTAAATCATTTTTCTATCGTATCATTTATTATGTATTTCAATTCATTATAAAATTTACGGTATCGGTTTATGACTTTTTTTTCCTTAGTATTTTTATTTTTTTTAATAGCAGTCCTTATTTGTACCTATGAAAAAAAATTAATCATTTATGATTTGTATCATAGTTCATTAGTAGTTATAACTTTTATTCAATTGGGTGTTAAAAGTGATCATGAGTTGTTTACTTTAAGTTACAAAGTATCACGTGAACACCACAAAAGACAGTAAGTACGCAAGAAAAATGGTCAGTAGAAAATGAAATTTAGCAAGAAACAGTCTAATAATTGTGAAATTTACTTGATGATAATGTATTAATTATTACATATTTATTATCATTTAGAAAAATAGATCAGGTAAAAGAAAAATTAATTCACTCTTACGATGAATAAAAATTTGAAAAAATGAATGATAAAAATTACGACAACTAATTATTATGGGCAGCTTAGTTGGACCGATTTAGCTTTAACGAAAGGGGGTTTAAATACGGTAAAATCTTTGCCAGTACGAACAACACTTCCCTTACAGCCAAAATCGTCGAAAAATTTGTACGAAGTACCGGGTGCGCTGACATCGCAACTCTTGAAGGGATCATCAGGACTAAGTCCATAACAGCCGCTCGCGCTGTCCCCAGTTTCATGCAAATTTTGACCCTTGCAAACTAAATAAAATAAAGACAACGATTAAATAAAGAATTTTAAATAAGAACGAACAAATCAAAATTTAAGTGAACTTACAAATTTTGCATTCTTTCGCGTAGCTTACAGAAGCTAAACAAGCAATAAAGAATAACAAAAATATTTGGACTTTCATTATGCTTTGTTTTAACTTACAAATGTTTTGATTTTTTAGTTATTATTTCAGTTATTTTTTTGAGAATGATTTGATTTTTTTGAAGGATTTAATTTCGAGAGGAGGGAGGCAAGCTTTTTATACTTAAACTGAGCTATTTACAGCTTCTTATTGAACATCGTAATATGTTACAACGTTGGCTTCGAGGGAATACTTTATACATAAAATGCGGGTAAAAGAAATTAATTGATAACAACGGGCTGTAAATGGCTGAATCGAAATGGATTTCTTCCGAGAATTCTATCGAAAAAATATTTTCAATAATTTCGTTGTTTCAAGAATAATTGTGGCTTCGAAACTATATTTTTAATCGATCAATTCAAGCAACTGACCGTACGCAAATAATATTATCCAACGTGTACTTTTATTTGAGTTGCACGTAAAAATTACCGTAAAATTACAGCCATAAAAAAAAAGATATTCATATCAATAATTAGTGCGTTCTACACGTTCTTGTATTTTTAAATCATTATTGTCACTATTCATGGCTTCGCTTTTTGGAAAAAGTATGTATAAAACGCTGTCATAATGTTTGACTTCAAACTTCTTCACGTTCCACCGCACTCTTGAAAAAGTTTATTGGAGTTTGAGTCGACTCCATAAAGTCGCCTGCTAATTGCGCCTCGAAATGCGTAAGTAATTTTGTAATATTTGAATCTTGCAATCTTTACAACTTGTCAGCCGCAGATTTTATAATCAAAGCCATACTGTGGCAGATTCCGAAAGAAACGAGTAACTTGATTACAAACATCGGTTTAAATTGTCATCTAGATATCAGAAACTTGTATTATGGTATTTCATGGCTTTGTTGGCGTTTTTTGTTGTTTAATTAAACGCAGCTTATATATATATAAGCCATTGGTAAAAACGATCGAAAAGCCATTCGGTGGCTGATTCCGAAAAATTTGTGTAACGATTGGTTGCTTTGCCTTAATAATGAACTGGTTTTATTGATTTCTTCAGCTCGAAACATTGAAAAGCCATTCTGCGGCTGAATCCGAAAAATGAGAGTCTTGATTTTGGATTCTTTTTTTTGTTTGTTTTAAACTACGTTTAATAAAAGTAACAGCCTTTAACAAAAATTATTACGACATTGGAGGTTACGATTACTTATTGATATTGTTTCGTAAAAACTACCGCCTCTAGATACTTGATTGCTTTTCTAATTAAAATATTTTGACATAATGCCGAATATAAGCTCTCCATCATTTTTTCATAGTTTGGAACCGGATTCAATGGCTTTATGTTTAATATTTTGTAAAGAATATTTCAACCCTAAACTTAGGTTAAATGGATCACATGGTATGTATTATAAAGTGTTACTAAAATATTTTTTATATTTAAAAAAAATTAATTTAATTTTTATTAATATTTACTTATATATGAACATATTAATTTAATAATTGTAATTTCTTAATATTTGGAATAGATTTTATCTTAACGATTTTTACATTTTTTGTCATGATTGGAAATTTGGCGTTAATTGTATTGCTCTATCGTTAGTTGAAACGTTGGATAAACGGGTAAAATTATTAACATGGCTTAATAACATACACCTCGTCAATTAATATGAGAACAAGTTTACATTTTGCCAAAACAGAAGGTAGGCTGGAGAAGCGTGCTTAATTTTACCGTGTTGAGATTAATTGTGTAAATAGAAAAAGTCACAATTATGTTTGATGCATTAGTTCAAAATGACATCAATATAGATTAATTTCCAAATTTTCTAATGGAAAAGATACGATCAAAATTATTTAAAATTTTTTATTTTTTAATAAAATTTTAATTTTTTTTCAAAGCAACTTTAATGGATATTGCCATTCACAATGTTCCTGCAACTTTCAAACAAATAAACATTCTAAACTTATCCTAACCTTAAAAAAAAAAGGCTTTAAGTAAATGAGAAATGAAAAGAAGCTGTACGGAAAGTTGTTACTTGTTTAAATGATGTCAATAAATATTGAAGTGTTATACTTCTTTCCAGATATAACTTGAAATTTCGAATGGCTCAATTAACTTACAAATTTTCCAAATTAAGTTGTTTTAATGTACGAAAATAAATATACTGTAAATTTTCGTGTTTGATGATCAAGTAAAAAATGCATAACGTGACAATATTTTCAATAAATTTTTTTAACTATTGTTGCTACCATAATTATGAAATTAACATTACAGTTAACGGTCATACTTTGTGAATCGTAGAATCATTTTTGACCCTGGCTTGGATTACTTGTGATAATCCGTTTTCCTTTATCAGACCTAAGAATTGGCAATATATTTTCATCTGGTGACATATCATTATTTTTCGGACTTTTGATATTTTGTGCATATAAATAGAGAACCCATATTGAGCACCTTTATTAACATTGTTTGCCGGTGGGAATGGTACACTTGACGCACTTGACTCATTTGGTAGGGCTCTTGTTGGAATTCCCGAAAATGATGCTGAAGGGAAGGAATAACTGATTGAGCATATAATAATTCGACTAGTATAATATTGAATAAGGAATCCAAGATCTAAAATTAAAAAATTTTTTTTTGATTAGAGAAACCCGAAACTCTAAATAATTCAGTGACGCATGTGTTCTAACAAGTTCATGAAATATGCTCTAATGCAACCCGATTACACATGAGTATTAATCCAAGGATGTACTTGAATAATTGACGCATTAGGTGTAA